TAGAGGAGCCGGGATGAAACGGGCAGGAGCAGGGTGCAGGAGGGGTGGAAGCAGGCGGGTTCTATCCTCTTCTATGATTCTGGTAGGGAGGTTGTGGAATCTCCCCCCCTGGAGATGAGGAGCAGGCTGCATACGCAGCTGTCAGGGAGAGACCGGGCTTGCTCCTGACCTGACGGCAGGGGACGGGACTCGATCCATCTTGAGACATAAGAACAGTCAGCAGGAGTCAGACCAACCGTCCATCTAGCCCAGTATCCTGTTCTATCCTCTTCTATGATTCTGGTAGGGAGGTTGTGGAATCTCCCCCCCTGGAGATGAGGAGCAGGCTGCATACGCAGCTGTCAGGGAGAGACCGGGCTTGCTCCTGACCTGACGGCAGGGGACGGGACTCGATCCATCTTGAGACATAAGAACAGTCAGCAGGAGTCAGACCAACCGTCCATCTAGCCCAGTATCCTGCCTGCCCACAGCGGCCAATGTCCGGTGCCCCAGAGGGAATGAAAATGATTTGATGACCCCTTGAGATCCCTTCCAGTTCTAGTCTTCTGGGATTCTAGGTCAGCGGAAGTGTGAAGGGGTTGGGGCAGAGGAACTGGGTAGCATGAAGAGGCAGATGGAGATGGAGCTTGGGGTGGGATAGAGCGACCTGGGGCAGTGTGGAATAGCGGAGCTCGGAGTTAGCACTAGAAGTCAGGATAGGCCAGCCAGGACCATGAGGCAGGAATATGTATCAGAGCAGAGAGCTGAGTGGGCCTAAGACAATGAGAGCTGGAATAAAATAAGGGTGAAGACAGTAGGGGCACTAGGACTTGGCTGGGGAAGGGCAGAATTAGCTGAGGCAGGGAGAATAAAAGGTGGAGCAAGGAATGGCAGGGAGTGTGGCAGGAGGGCTTGTGACCCACTGATTTCTCAAAGGTTAAGGATTATTTTTGTTTGTTAATTAAAGTAGCAGCTGGCCTGCCTGGAGTGGGGAAGGAATATGCAACCTGATGCTTCTAGGTCAGTAGTGGGCAACCTGTGGGATGCATGCAGCCCACGGACTCCCTGGCGGCCACCTCCTCCATGTGCCACTTGTTCAATGGGGGCACCGGAGCCCCGCCCTTCCTCCCAGCACTTTTGGATTCGGTCTCTGTCCTGCTCCTCCCACTCCCTCCCAGCACTGGAACGGTGTGAGTCAGCGCTCCAAAAGTGCTGGGCGAGGGGGGGAGAAGCAGGTAAGTGCAGGGCTTCAGTGCCCCAGTGTGGGAGCGGCATGTGGGAGACGGGGGTAGAGAGGGGATCTATGGGGCCTTAAGGGGAACTCCAGTGGACCAGGGGCTGCTGTGGCCCTCTGAAGTGAAGGGGGTTCACTTATGTGGCCCACCCACTATTTGTGGTTGCCCATCCCAGTCGCTACTTTGATTCCAGCTGTGTGGTGACACTGCAGGTGTTGTTCTTAAAGCTCCAGCTCCTGGATTCATTGGATTACTGAGAAACTCCACTTTCACTTAAAAAAGAAAGTTTCTAGCCCTCAGTATGACTGTGCAGAAATTTGTTTTGAAAACATGACCACGTGCAGCATAAAGGCTCTAGGTACCTAGGCCCAGGTACTGGCTGTTGGTATTTGGGGGGCAGATAGCATGGCCCTGGCATATATACTGGTAGCATATGGTATGGGGGGCAGATTGCAAGGCTGGGCACAACTACAGGGTGTCAAAGTCAGACAGGACTCACAGATTTGTCAGACAGCTCTGTTTATTAGCAAAGCTGCTCTGCTAAATGCATCCAGAAAATGTGAGTGCCATACAAGGTTCAAACCCCTTGATTTATACAGTCAAAAGAAAGCCAAAATTAACAGGATTAAAAGAGGGGCAAAACTTCACATAATTAGAGTGAGGCTAGTCAAGTATCTTCATTTCCACATCAAGCGCACAGCAATCTCCTGTCCATATCTCCTTGGTTATCTTAATTGCTTTCTCCCTAACACCTAATGTTCCCTTTCCTATTAACTCTGGCTAGCACTCTGGTATCTGCATACCTACAAACAACATTAACATACTTTTCTTCTTCCTGTTCAGAGACCAACAGTATTCCTTTAACTTATTCAATTATTACAGCATAATTCATCTTTCTCTTACAGTATAATTCTTTCTACTTTCACAAGGGTGTGTGTGGGTAGGCAGTTAGCCAGGCCTATCCAGGTACCAGCTGGCTCTGTGTGGTCCTGGCTGTATGTGGTCCTGATGGGGGCACAGTGCATGTTAGGGGCAGGGACCAGCAAGCTGGGTGGTTTTCAGGGTGGCTGGATGCAGGTCCTGCACCTTGTTAATGGTCCATTTTTAGTATTTTTTTTCTTGCATAAGATATATATAAAATGAGATTCAGGGAGGAAGGGGGATGGAGTGAGCAGGGTGAGGCTTCAGAGGTGGAGCAGGGGTAGGGCCTCAAAGAAGAGGGGGAGGGAAGTGGGGCAAGAGTATTTGGGTTTGAGGTAGATCTTACATTTCACTTAAATTAAAAAAGTGATCTTGTGGTTAAAAAGGTCTTCCAATATGGCTACAGAAAAAGGTTAAAAAGGTTGAAGGCCACTAGCCTAAGACCAGAGCTGTCAGGACTCCACTGCACGATGTGACGTGCAGCAGCGAAGATCCAGAGAGACTGACCTTGCTTGGCCAACAGGGAGAGTCTGCCTGTAGTAGGATTGGTGAGTATGACACTGTGCTTAGCATATGTATTCTGTTTGTTCGGGAATTGTCAATAAATAGAGTATAAGGATATTACAGTGTGAGGCTCTTTCAGTGGCTAAAGATCCTGCCAACCCGCAGGAAGATGCACCCTGAGCACTAGGAATTGGGTAAGGCTGGGTGTGTAAATTAACAGGGTTGCACCTTGAGCCCTAGGAATTGGGTAAAGGTGTGTGTCCCTACAGTGTGGAAGGGAGAAAGAACTGTTATTTGTGCGGGTAACATTAGTAACAGGTGGGTGCCACAGTGGCACACGTCCAAACAAGCGCACATGACGTCAATATTGGTGCACAAGACAAAATTCAGTCCACTCATGGATGGAAAATCTTAGAGGGAACCCTGGTGGAGACTTGTGTTTTTGAGGCTGAAGGTTCTGGGTTTGGTCTCTTGCTGACTGTACTATCTGTATGTGACCAAGGTGTGTTAGGATTTTGTAAAGGGTTTTCCTTCTGCATGTGCAGTTATGTATGTCTGTACACAAGAAACGCAGATGTATTTTAAAATGTCAGTGCACAGCTGTGCACCTGCGGGAATCGTGAACTGCTGGTGAAGGAGCCAGATTGGCAGTCCCATCTTTCCGCATCAAACAGACACAATATGGCAACATGAATGCCGGCTTTGTCCACCCTGTCCCCAAAGGCTTTGCTCTGGAGAGGTCACTCCTTCGGCTCATCGCTGAGACTGCTAAAGAAAGGGGCCACTTGGGGCCAAGGTTGTTTTGTGATGTGGGACCCAATTCATCCCAGATGAAACCAGATGCATTGGAGTCAGTGAGGGTGAAGCCTGCTCACACCAGAGCCAACTGAGGTCCCTCATTTGTCTGCCTGCTTGTAAACTCCTCAGCTACAATGGACGGGCAGGTGTGCAGCATTAGCTGCAATAGGCCAAACCTCTGAACCTTCCTTCTGTGTAATAGGAACCACACACTGAAAGCAGCAGAGAGGAAGAAGTGCCAGTTGTTTACTCTCTCCATGCCAGAAAGTGGTTGCCAGATCCCTTTCCCATCTAATATATAAAGGAGAATGTTGGTAAGTTTGTGCTCTAATAACTTGGACACTACAAGAGCTACCGCAACCAAACGTAGCATGGGATAACCTTTCATCCAGGAGAAGGTTGTAAGGTACTTTTGGACATGATCGGGCCCGAGCTTAAGCTGTAAAAATAAAAAAGTAACTCGCTACACTGCAGGGGCCACCCCGCCCACCCTAGATCCCGTGCTTGCCGCCTGCAGCCTCCAGCGCTGTCCGGGACTCCTGCCCGTGAGGTTACATAAGTGACCTTCTTTTCTCACCTGCGCTGACCCCCACGTGCACAACGGCTCAGGCACCTGCCCTGCCCCCCGCAGCACCTGCAGCCCCGGGCGTGAGCTGGAGCACCCCTCCCGCGTGTAACCTCCCCTCCACCTGGGGTCACACCCCCGCCCTCCGGGGATGATGTGGACCTATATTTTAATCCCTATAGACAGGGCTCGCTGAACCACGGCCAGCCCCGCTCGCCAGCCGCGTTGTCCGGCGATTGGCGCATGCGCAGATTGCCCGAACCCGGCTCTTCCGGGTTGCAATCTACTCACCACGGGTGAGTAGATTGTATTATTTATTGAGCCCTGCCTATAGAAATCAGTGCAACTTTTCTACCATTCAAAAAAAGATAATGGACTACTGTTTTTCTACATTTTGTTCCTCCGGTTTCCTGAGCAAAGCTGGGTAACTCCAGCTAGTTCTGAATAAAGCAGAACCACATGGACATCCATACGCCTAGCTGCAGATTTGTGGCCAGCTCTGCTCCTGTCAGAACAAGAGAGGGCAGCACAAGCCTGTGTAACGCAGAAAGTTTCCCTCCGGAAATGTTTTTATGAGCGAATGATTTAAAAGGGGTGTTTAAACCAGGGGAACCTTTTTTGGGTTCAGGCCCTCTGATCCACAGAAAAATCAGTTGGGGGTTGCTCACAAGTGAGAAGCAAAAAGATTCCCAACCCCTAAACCCTCATTGACGTGGCCCCCAGCTGAGGAGAAAGACACTCCCCACGTTTCCCTCGCACACGGGAGCCTAGGGGGCCGCCTAGTAGATTTTGTGTGCTACAGCCCCGCAATGGGGCAGTGGGAGGGGCTGGAGAACCAGCACAGGCTCCTTACTGCTGCGGGTAGCCTTGCGTCTTGGGCACCAGATCCAGACAAGCTGGGGGCCGCATCCAGCCCTGGGGCCTGAGGTTCCCCACCCTTGGTTTTAACCTTTGTTTAATTCCTTCCCTAGAGCACTGGCCATTTGGAGCCCACAGCATGGAGGTAGTGCATGAAACTTGCTAGGGACAGAAAGCAAAACTCACCCATCAGGTTCCCCCTGCAAGAATTTCCAGCCCCCAGGGTATTTCTCAGGATTTTGCAGTGGGCTAAGGAAATTCCAAAAGTTTTGAGTTAGGCAGGGCCTGGTCCTATCACATCAGACTGCAGTATCGCCATCCCCAAGTGTCAGCACCCATGTCGGCTCTTTAAACATTGTAAGATGATCTAAAAGAGAAATGAAATGATACACTGTGTTCTTTTCATTTGCCTTCTGCTTTTAGAGTTTGTATGGTGCATGTGGATCACACTTTCCAGCTGTCCTCTTCAACCATGAGGGCCAGAAACTTTTGTTGCTGTTGTTGAAATGAAAGCTGGAATTCTCATATAATCACAGTACTCCAGGAGCTGTGGCTTTAATAAAGGCTGCATATCAGGCCTGTATGCGAGAGGGGTATGTGAAGGGTGTGAAAGCACCTTCCGCCCATGGTCCCCCAAGTAAGCATGCTCCAGCTGGCCGGGGAAAGGCAGGAGTGGCGAGCTGCCCGACCCTCCCTCCCTCAGGCTCTGCCCAGCAGGGGGAAGGCTGGGGCTGATTTCCCCACTTAAGGAAGACCATGGCGGTGAGTGGGGGCAGGGGGGTACATTCACACCCTTGGTGTCCACATTTACAAAAAAAGCACTCCCGCAGCAATTCCTGCATGTGGGCCTGCATATATAGTGCAAGATGATGACAGCATGACTGTTTGCAAGACTGATACTGTCAAGCATACGGCCTCTTGGTTTTTTTGTTTGGGTTTTCTTTTCATTTAATGGTATGAATATAGTGCTTAAGAATGGCGCTGTCTTGATGACAGTGGGGTCTGACGCTGTGGGATCTGAAGAGCTCTCTCTTGGGACTGGTGGTATGATCACACCGCGCTTTTAACTTGGAAGTGTAGGCAAAGCCTCAGCTGGAGGGAAGAAGGAGGTTAGCCATAATATTTAGTTATAATCTTGTGCTTTTCATCCATAGCTCTCCAAGGCTTTTACTTTGCTTCATTTACAGATGGAGAACCAGAGCACAGAGAGGTAAAGTAATTTGCTCACTCAGCATCATCAATCAATGAGTCAGGGGCAGACTGGGGAACAGCTGTTCCAGCTCCTGCTGTTCTGATCT